GCAATTGTTGTGGTACTTGAGACAATATCAAATAATTATCCTGTATGTGTTTTGTTTTTTAAATCCTTTTATCTAGTTTAATATAATTAAATTAAGATTAAAATCCTTTTTTTGTTCCTGAACTATTATACGGACTTTCAATTTGGTTCATAAACTAAAAAATCCCTAATTTGGTCCTTACCGTTTACCATTTTTACCCCAATTTGGTCATTCCGTTAAAAATTGTGTGACGTGGCCTGTTACTTCACGGTTACCAGATGACATGTCATATAGTAATCCACGTGGAAGATAATATAGCCAAAAAGTGATGATGTGGAAAAAATAATAATATAAAACAATATTATGGAAAATAAAACTTAAAATTTTTTTTTCTTTTTTCTTTTTTTCTTTTTTCTTTCTCCTTCTCCTTTCCCTTTCTCTTTCTCCTTCCCCTTTCCCTTCTCTTTCCCCTTGGAACCCAACAGGCCTGGGTTCCTTCGAACCCACCTAAGCGCTGGGTCCGCGTCTGGGTTCCTACAAACCCAGCATGCCTAGGTTCCTTGCGAACCCAGGTGCAAAAAATTAAAAAAGTTTTTGTTTTTTGGATTTGTTGTTTGATTGTGATGAAAAATTGATTGATGAAGATGAAGAAGGCAAGGCAAGGCAGTTGCTTGGTGTTGCAAGTGCTGAGTTCGACATTGGGTTCAATTTTTCAATTTCAAACCTACCAGCTACTAGGTTTTTGCAGGTGTTGGGTTCGAAATCGAACCCAGTAGGCGGTGGTTTCAAACCAAGCAGTTGCTAGGTCAGTGGAACCCAGCGGTTGCTAGGTTTGAGCAGTCGTTGGGTTCTTGCAAGTAAGGCTCTGGGTTTCGTTTCGAACCCAGCAGCCATTGGGTTAAGTATCTATTGAGTTTAATCTGTTGATTTGTTGTGTTATCCTTGAATTTAATATTAAGAGTTAGGGTTTGCAGAAGGTTAGAGGAAAGGGAGAGGAAGAAGAAAGGGAAAAAGGAAAAACAAACGAAGAAAAAAAAAAGGAATAAGAAATTTTTTAAGATTTTTCTCTTGTCATCTCATTTTTTTGTCATGTTGTACATCCTAGGTGTCAAAATGCTTGTACATGTCATCATTTTCCTGTCAAGTAACGGGACACGTAGGTTGATATTTGACGGAAGGACCAAATCGGGGTAAAAATGATAAATAGTAGGATCAAATCAAGAATTTTTTTAGTTTAGGGACCAAATCGGAGGTCCGTACAATAATTCAGGGACCAAAAAGGGGTTTTAACCTTAAATTAACGTTATAACCTTACATGATTAGCTTTTTGAAGAATTTAATGGATAATTTTGTTTCATGATTAAATTTTTTTTTGGTAATTTTTGTTTTAGCATGTTCATGGGCTTAATTGACAAACACTGAAGTATTTAAACTCAGTTTTTATTTTATTTAGACTAAGATGTGAGAAAATTTCGTTTTCAGACTAAAGTGATATACACCACTGTTAATTGCAGA